GCATTTGTTTCTGAGTTATTGTAATCCTAACCCACTATGACTTAGTATCTTTAGTTTGTTGCAACCTTGAAGCATGGAAAAGTCTGGAAAAAGATACATGCAGTGGTAGACACCAGCCAACTTCTTGGAAACATATTGGCAATCAGAGTTTGCCAAAGAATAAATCCTTCCTTTTTCTCGATAAAGAAAAAATATTATTAGAAAGGAGTAAAAAGATTACAAATTACTTCTGCCTCTTAAAAGACAGAAATCACTGCTCTGAGTTGATGCAGACAAAAACTAAAGCAAATTTTCATCTTGATAAAACTTTTGTTTATTTCTCTTTTACTTTTAACAGGAAAAAAAAGTGTTTCCATTAGGCTGGAAGTGACTGTTTAATTTATATATATATATATATATATATATAGTTTTCCTGCATCCACTTTCCAATTATTCCTAATTCATTATCTTACAACGGATTCCTTCATCAACGGGAACCAGCAAACAATAGTTTTATAACATCCATGTTAGATGAGTAATAATAACTCAATAAACCAACAAACATGACAAGGAAGAACCATATCAATCTTTGATATGTTGGCTTCAGATTTTGTCTGAAACTAGGAATTTCAACAAGGTTAACAATATTTTTGAAGCAGGAAAAGAAGTTATTCTTCAAACTACCAGATAAGATACTGGAAAATATTTTTTTTTTTTTTTTAAATGAAAATCAGCTACTTAATAAATGGGTAACCACAGGCAGGGAAGGAGCTAACAGATGCTAGGATACAACATTACTGAAGATAGAAAACTTGCACTGTGATACTTACTGCTGGCGTTTTAAGATTGCTTCATTTTCCATGACTGTTGTTGATAAGAAATTCACGGGCTTCATGGACCGCAAATTTTCAGAAACCCACTTTCCGTACGGATTCAACAATGCAACTCGTTTTTTAACTTCAGTGTTCTCATAAACCTACAATTCAATATATTTTATCGTGCAATATGAGCATTCAATAATTGAACTTGGTGTCTGATTTTAAAAAAAAAAACATAGGAAGACTGTTTCAGCAAAAACAGTGAACGCACATCTCAATATCATATGACATGGGGTTTCAGATGTCCAAATTGGAAGTTGGTCATTGAAGAACATGTAAATAAGGCAAGATTGTCCTTCATGAACAGAAACATTAACTCAAAAAACATACAAAAAAAAAGAAAAGAACAACCAACCAATCTAGAGCTGCTCATGCCTGTCACCTTCATATGGAATCAAATGCCTCATTCTTAACCTCAGTTAAAGATAGCAGAGTTTGAATAATTGAGAGCCCAACACGTTTGATGTGAACAAATAAATGGAGCCCCACTTGATTGTATTCTTGCCAAATACCTGTTTTATACTTTCTTTTTCAAAAGTTGGATACCAAAGTTGCAAAACATTTTTTCATAACAATATTTAACAATTTATTTTATGCATTGTTTAGTCAAATGTTGAGGTATAAAAAAACACGAAAAGATATTTTTCAACTTTTGGAAACAAATGTAAACAAGGATAGGATCAATCAGGGTAACTTCATTAATCATATCACAAGTACATAAGTTTGTCAATAACTTGAATTTCAATTTAACGTAACCAAGTAAATTAAATTAAATTTTCCACGCACACATTGTCATAAGTGAAAAACCTAGATTCAAAGTCGAAGTCACTTGTCTTTTAATTCAAACCATATATCATCATCTCTTCCAAAACTAGAGACATATTGCTATGGAGAATCTCTTGACAAAAAGTTGAAGCTGGGAAGGTCTTGCTATTTAGTTTGGCCAAAGACTAAACTCATATCCTTCTTTCTCGTTTGTCCTACTTGTAAACAAAGAGAAATCATTCTCGCTGAATTTAATCCTATTAACTAATAACTATAAATTAGACAAAGGATATTGTTAAGAAATATATATTAAGTTAAGTGTGTATTAAGTAGGGTAAAATGTATAGTAGTAACATACTCATTTCTTTATAATTAATTGTATTCCCTTTTATTGCTCCTATTAACTTGTATATATAGGGTCTTAATATTCAATAAATACACACGTTGATTCTTCCACATGGTATTAGAGTACTAGCAAAAAAACCTTAATCCTCTTTTATAAACTCTAATAGGTTTTCATTGCCAAAATAAGAAAAAACTCTAAAGGGGTCAGCCTTTGTTGTCAACCACCACAGTCTTAGCTGCCAGCCACAACAGACCGACCACTAGCCACCAAGACTGGCCTTCAATGCAGACTCCAACCGCTTCATCGTGTCTCAACCACGCAGCCAAACCCCACACGTGCACAACCCAGCAACAACTGCCACCTCCACAACCGCATGGTCCAGCTGCAACCCACGTGTGCCGCCATAGCTCCTCCCTGCCCAGCCACGCCACAGTGTTGTCCAACCGATTAAAAATTAAAGATAAAATCACTCAAATCCTTCCCAGTTTTATACGATAATCCAAATACAGTTTAGGGTAAAAATTAAAATGCTTTCGCACCGGTAACACCCGATCTTACTTTGATCAGAAATTGTCATTTTTTTACGAAAGGAAAGAATTGTTCATTAATCTTTTTGTGTCTACACTCCACAATAAAATAAAGTAGCAGAACAAAAAAACAACCACTTGCTTACCACTACCCAAGATTTTTTGTTCCAAAACCATGTACCCAAACACTACTAGAGAGAAGTTGTGTTAACTGTCGATTACCATATTGGTTATTAAAATGTTAGAGTCCTATGGAAGTTCTTGTTACTTTTTTTCCCTAAATTAAAAGTCTCTTACAACCTTCTCCCTCTGGTTTTTTGAGGGCGGTGCCTGTGTTCACATACATCAGTCCTAAAAGGGGAAACCCCTATTTACCATAGCTATCTAATGTGTTTTTATTGGATACTTGTCCACCCAAAAAAGATACAAATGTTATCATCCTGTTACAAAAAAATTCTTTGCATTATTTTTTTTTAAATAAAAGTGTAAATATTGTATTGAAATAATGGTGCGAATAGGGCACCTTCCATGTACAAAAGATTTACAAGTTGATTACCATATCAACAATGAGACCGAGATCTTCAAAACAATCAATGTTGTGCCTCAAAATAATAGAACCAAAATAATGGAGCCAATTGATAATGATAATGCTAAATTCTACTTCTTTGCCTTCAAAAACCCTATTGTTTCTCTCCTTTCATATGACCCAGAAAATGGTGAGAGGAATGAGTGTGAGAGATTTCTGTTTGCTGGAGAAGCCTTCCCAAGCGAGGAGTTTGGATGAAATTGATTCATTTCTAACCCAAGACAGCCCCAAGAGACCAAGAGCTACAGACCACAGCTTGTGAACCATATTACATTCAAGCAGGAGATGATTGCAAGATTCTAAGTAGTTCTTGCAGAGAAAACATCTATTGACAATAGGAGTCCCTCTCTTCATGAGATTGTCTAAAGTGAGAATGCGACCTTTTGTAGCCTCCCAAACGAAAAAGGAAATCTGGGAGTAGCTCCTACTCTCCATATAATATTGTGAGGAAACAAATGTCCACTGTTGTTAGTATTTCCGGCCGGCAGCCTGTAAAGTGATTAGACAGAAAATTGAGCGTTCTTCATGATTTCCCATCTCAATTTGTCTTCCCGATTTGAGAGTTAAATGCTTGTCAATGTCTGCAAAAGATTTTCAAATTCCTCTATCTCCCAGTCTTGGAGATTCCTGTTGACAGTGATATTCAAATGGTTGGGGAAGTTGGGATATTAGAAATGAATTTTCTGGCCATTGCCAATGCAACGTCTGGAATTATAGAGAATGAGTGTTAAGCTGCCAAATAGCTTTCCAGAGGCTAGTCCCATATATACCATTCTTGATTATAGACATGCCACCATTTCCACCATTGAACCATTTGCACAAGAAAACCGTTTTCCATAGGCTGTTACTTTCATTCCAAAACCTCCAAATCCATTTGCCAAGAAGAGCTTTGTTCATCATGATAATAGATCTTAGACCCAAACCTCCCTTGAGAGGTTTTTTTATTTCGTTCCAATTTACTAAATGGAGTTTCTTGTTGGATTCGTCATCTCCCCATAGAAAATTCCTTTGTATGGCTTCCAGCTTGTTTGCAATATTAGTAGGGATGCTCTTTATTAGAGTCAGTCTACCCCTTTTGAGAGCAATTTTTTCTTCCAATTTGATAGCCTATTCTGGAGAATATCGATGATGGGATCCCAACATTTTTTGTCTTTAAATTTGGCACCAAGTGGTATCCCGACATCGGTGATAGCAGTTGAGAGAGCCTACAACCCAGAACTTGAACTAATTCATTATCAGAGTTGTCCCCGAGTATCACTAGCTCTGATTTTTTGAGATTGATCTTAAGATCCGAAACAGCTTGGAAACACAGTAAGATACATCTAAGGAAAATAACGGAGCTAGCTTCTGGCTTGCAGAAAATAACAGTGTCATCCGCGAAAAATAGGTATGAAATATTAACCTGTCTCCTCCCCTGACCAACCATGATTTCTTTGAGAAGATGCAACTCTTTAGCTTTCTCAATGAGTTTATTTAAATCTTCCAATACAATAATAAAAAGTAAAGGAAAGAGAAGGTCGCGTTGCCTTAAACTTCTGGTAGCATTGAAAAAGGTAGAGGGGCCACCATTCACAATAACAGCAAACCTAGTAGTGGATATGCAGCATCTGATCCATTGTCTCCATTTAGAACTAAAGCCAAACCTAAAATTCTTTGTATTATGATATTCCATTTATTGAGATTGAATCATTTTTTGATAAATCTTATCTTCAGGGGGAGACTACTATAGTGGAAAATAAGGGGACTCAATCCTTTTTTGACATTCCCTTACCTTTGAAAATTACACCCTCTACAACAACCACCACAACAAAAAACCAGTGCCCACAATGTGAACCTAACCCCGTAATTCCAAAAAATGAGTCTGAACCTCAAATCAAACCAGATCTATGGTTTTCCCAAATGTATTTAAAAAGAAAAACTTAGAACTTTAATTAGTAAAGAATCAAAAAATACTATAAATGTTAAAATGCAAGCACTGAAAAAGAATC